TCTGCACAATTTTTTGCAGGGTACGAATTCGATTCAACATAAATTCATTGCATATGGTTGTATGGATGGCACTGGATTTGATTCAAGTTCAGTCGATGGATCTCTAAAAACTGTATTTAAAGTCTGATTTTATCCAAATTCAGAGCATCTGTACATATATTTAAGCTTTGCGGATACTTTAAAAGCACTAGTACACTGCCTTATACAGAACGGAAACCGTGCGGCTCTAGAAGTTAGTTTTACTAGTATTTTTTCCTGCTGGGTATCTTTGCTATTTATTTCGGAACTCAATTATAACCCAGCGCATGTAAATGTCGCGGATTTTGCATGGAACATTTAAATATAGACTACACTCTAGTGTAAATTACATTTCAGCATTCTTGCTAAATTTTATTTTGCTTCTTATTTGCTGACAATTTCAACGAGCTTACAGTAAAGATGAATGTATTTTCACGCTGTGAAATTTTTCTCATAGTCACGCTAACTAATTTTTGAAAACAATCAATTTATATAACGGCAAATAATTTCGCACAGCAGTGTAATTAAGCATACACACACACATATAGCATACTTACTACGCTTTGTGCCAACAAACTGTCAAATAACACTTTGGTAAGAAAATAAATTTATATGTACTTATGAAAGCGCTCGCCAAAATTATTAGACTAAATACCAACATATGTAGGTACAGACATGCATATATGTACATAGATCTCCCAAATATTATTACCTACTTTAGTGAGTACCAAACCGTATCAGTTGCTCGCAGACTTTCTGGCAGTACTACGCTCAGCTGAGCTGTCAGCGGTTATCAGCTAGAAACCGGTGAGTTGATAAGCTTTTGCAACAGTTTCAAGTGTTTGCAAGTTAGAAAGCGCCTTGGCATTGAGTGTACCTCTAATTATGAACCTTAACAACTGTTTTGTGTGTCAACAAAACCAGCAGCGACCAGTTGCACGAAGTTAGTTGACGTATTCGAATGCAAAAATTGTGCGAAAGTGGTGAAATTGAAAAGTTGATTTCTAGAAATGTAAAATTTTCACAAAGTGATTGAGTGAAGAAGTGAAGAAAGTTAAGAAGCAATGTCGTTTATAAATAAAGAAACGGAACAAAAGAGACGTGATGTAGTGCGAAGCATTAAAAAATCACCGAATTTACGGCAATTCTATGATGAATTGGATACAGATGAGATGCTGAGCTATGAAGATATAGACTATGGCGGGGGGCTGCAACTGCAAACCGTCGACCCCCCCACAACTGTGATAAATTTCAACTGTGATTGGGAGAAAGAACTGAAGAGGGGGGGATCGCTAACGCCGCCTATACGAACGGCGAGAACGAATACGGGCAGAGTACAGCTGTCGGCCGGTTGGTGTCCTTTGTTAGCCAAATTGGCGAATATTGACGCTCAGGAATACAAGATCGACACAGAATCGAAAAGGTCGAGCAGCATTTTGAGTGAAGAGGATGAAAGTGAGCATGAAGCAGAAGCAGAGGAAGTCGAAAGAGCAGAGGATGAAGAAAGAGCGGAGTATGAAGAAACAGAACCTCCTTGCAACACCTTAGTGGAAGTCCGCGACATCAAAAAAATTTCCTTTAAAATAACACAAACCCTACACCACAGCTGCGCACTGCAACCGGGCGAGTACGGCAGTGAGACTGCAAAGAACTTAGCTGCCGTAAATTTCAAGGTCAAACAAGTGCTAACTATGAATGTATGTGAAGAATATAAATTTTCCATCTCCACCCACGCGCTGGAGAGCTTCCTCACTCTCCACAGCAATGGCACGCATTTAGCGAATATTGAACACCCATTACGAATCATATTTGGGCACACATTCAGGCCCATCTACTACGGCCAACCCGTAAGCGGTTGTAACATAGTGGGCGCGTTTAATGATTTGGCCGCACAACAACTGCTCCCAGCGGGTTATTCATTGCCTAAATTCGAAGCAAAGTGTAAGTTTCTAATAAATATAAATTAATCAATGGCAATCGAAAAGCTACACAGCGTCACAAAACAGCGGAGGCAGATTAGAAGTTTTACTGTATGTACATTAGACTGCATCAGCAAAAAAAGTTGCGGTTTTTCCGCCGGGATTACAAAATTTATTATATTCTAAGANACAGCATCAAAAATCTCATCATTACGATTTCGTTCAAATTGTTGTTAAATTTTTTTTTTTAATATCTTTATGTAAATATTTTAAGCTTAAACCGTTTTGTCATTTGAGGGGTTTTTTTCAAAAAAATATCTTTAAGAAACTATTTTTATTCATAAAAAACTCCATTTTTGGAGGTATTTTCAAATCGGTCCAGCTCATTTAGATCTTAATATTTTTCCGAAATATTTTGGTGGACGTCTTAAAATATAATAGATTTTATTATTCCAGAGGAAAAATAGTACCGATTTTTTTTTTTTTGTATGGGGAGTGATGCAGTCTAATGTACATACAAGAAGAAAACGTAATAATGAAAAAAACGACAACAAAAACAAAAAACGGCGCTGATAATCAATTGATAAATGTAGTATTTGTCATTAGGCGTTATTGATTCATACTGCGGCAAAACTATTTATATTTGTATGTGTACTTTTAACCGCTGCCAGCGGGATATAATTGTCTGCATACGTCTGCCTATCGGTTTGCGTTTGATTGTGTTTATATTTATACAATTCATCGCCGATGTTTACGTATGACCTTTCGCTTTATCTCAAGTGTTGTGCAAATAAAAAATATTTGCCTGCTCTTGTTTGAGTACTTAAGCACTTAAGAGTTTAGATACTATTACTTAAAGCTCACCAGATGGCAACTTTTGATATAAACTTTCCAAATCAAAATANTATATTTGTATGTGTACTTTTAAGCGCTGCCAGCGGGATATAATTGTCTTCATACGTCAGCCTATCGGTTTGCGTTTGATTGTGTTTATATTTGTACAATTCATCGCCGATGTTTACGTATGACCTTTCGCTTTATCTCAAGTGTTGTGCAAATAAATAATATTTGCCTGCTCTTGTTTGAGTACTTAAGCACTTAAGAGTTTAGATACTATTACTTAAAGCTCACCAGATGGCAACTTTTGATATAAACTTTCCAAATCAAAATACAAAAAAAAATAAAAATTGTTGGCTCACTGTGTAGGCATATAAACGTGATGCCAATTACGAGCCGCTAACTCTCTAAGCCCACTGGCTGTTTATTTTCCTTACTTTACTTTGACCAAGATTATTGCCGAATGTTACTTTTAGCAGTCATCACTTGTAGCAGTACTGTAACCCATCAACGACAAGGATATGTGGGCATTCAAATATCTCTGATACTTGTCCACCACTACCTTCGTCAAATGTACTCCTAAGGTAAATTCACCATATCTAACTGACTGGAATATACCACTCACATATGGACGATTCCAGCGAAAAGCCTACCGTGAAAAAAATTCCTTTATCTAACTAACTTATTTATTTATCTAACTTATTTATAGGTATATCACCTAGTTACCTCGATCAAAACGATCTCTTGTAACAAACCTCTATTCATCTACAGGTCACCTTTGATCCCCGTACTTCTGAGAAACCTCGCGAGGTCCTTTGGCTAAATACCATTTAGGTCGTGCGCTTCTAGGTACGGTGATCCAAAGAGGCCAAGGCTGGCCCTGCTGAGGGCTTCACAGTGGCACAAAATGTACTCTGCTGTTTCCTGCTTTGATCAGAGTTAACAACTTCTATGATTGACAAGTCTTTCATTACCCAGTAAGAAAGGCTGTAACAATTCTTACTTTATGCCTTCGAGGTGAAGGAGTTCTTCGGTTCTCCTTGTTAATATATCCGGAATGAAGGACTGGGCCTATGTCTGTTACATTCCGTGTTTGTCCAGTAATGTTGCGCCTTGTTCTTTATCCAAATATATTAGAGTCGCCTAACGGATCTCTATGGCACACTGGGGTCCTGGGCCTATGAATCCCTATGCATCCACTTTTCTGGCGAGAAAATCTGCGACTTCATTGCACATTACTCCACAATGTACCCATATGAGATATACCCATTTCCTGGAGGCGATAAGTATTTAAAGTTGAATACAGTCCCACACCAGCTTTGAGGTGACCTCGTGCGCTTTAAGTGCGAAAAGCGCCGCTCAGCATGCCAGATGTGACTGTCCTTCCGGGGTGTAGGTCGATCGTTGTCCCAGTTATTCCTGTCGGGGAAAAAGACCTTGAAGTTTTGTGTGAAGTTAAATCTCCGAAGGCGCAGGTCTACAAAGCAAAGCATATTCTTGTCCTATAACCCTGAGGGTGGAAGGGTGTATAAGCTTCTTGTCCTTGCTGTAAACAGTAGAGCCTTTTTCTTGATTTCTACTTTCACTATCATTGGTCTACCTTTGAAGATATCTGCGATCCTATTTGGCAAAGTTTTGGTCAGTGATCAATTCTTTAATTTGGAGAAATTGTAGTGCTCAAATCACTACTCAGTAGGTCTATCAAACCATCACCCCCTATCCCAATATTTTACTAATGACGCCACCGGCGCTGTGGTGTTCGCATTCTTATTTGGGGTAAACTGGACCAAAAACAACTCCATTTCAGGTGAAGCCTTTTCGTCATAAAAAGGGTACAGCAACTTAAAACAACACTCTCTCTACAGTGTCTATTGAATCTTTCTACTACTCATACTAATTTCTAATAGAAAGTCTGAGCTTTCAAACAGCAGTTTCTTGTCTTAAACAAATTTAAGAATTTTTTCAGTTTTCTTTTGAAACCTTCATAATACCGAAACAAACACAAATATCTACTGCTTTATTACTCGATGAACGAAAGCGTATATTTAGAAATTATATATTTTCCGTTACACAATCTGGTGGCGGTATTGCAAATGTTGCACATAATCTATAGCTCTTTTAAGATAAGTGAGTGAAGCAACGCTGCCAGCTGCTGTCAACCCTTCCTTTACTTTCTTTCCAAAACAAATCAGTAAGTAATAACATCTCCCACCTCTCTTTTCACAGGTCAAATGCTTATGAAATGGCTGATTTCATCATTGCAACAGTCAACAGGCAACAATCTGAACGAACAGGACTTGAATAACCTCACAATGCAGTATTGTAATAATTTAATAAATGTGGGTGTGCTTAAGCAGATTTCGGAGGAAACGGATATTAAAAACTTCAGTGTAAGTACTATTTACGTAAATGCAGTGACTGCGTGCGAATGAGTGGTGTGGGGTAATGTTTTCAGACTTGGTTTAAAGTTCAACTCCAGCAAACTTTAGCGAACATTAATTGCAGTCCAGTCGAGGTAAAGTCTGCTACATAAAACTAAGATGCTGAAAAGGAGTATAGCAAAAAAAAGAGACATCAACCATTACTTCCTAGCACAAATTAAAAATTGATATTCCAACGTTCAGTGACTTTTGCCCCCTGCGCACTCAGGAAACTTGAGAAAAAATGTCTTTTTAAACATTAAAAAACTTACGAACTCCTTCAGAGTGAGTGGACCAAAAAAAAAAAACGAACGCTTTGCTCAAGCAGAAATGCAACTAAACTTTTTTGAGTACTTTGGAGTTGCTAAGGCGCACCGCGCCGCCTTCAACCAACTTGCTTGCCTTCGAGTGTTTTGCACTTCCCACAGCTTCGACTATGTCTTCAAATCCGGTCGTCAAACCATTCGTAGCGCAATACTTGCTACAAATACGGCGTAGAAGAGTTGTGACAGCTAAGCAAGCGCGCTGAGAAATGTATAGGTTTTTTTGTTGACGAATGGCTAGGGAAACGGAAATGTCGACAACGGATATGAAAGGCTTGACGTGGTGGACACGGTTGCTTTCGCTGCTGCTGTTGCAGTTGCTATTGTTGTTGTTGCTATTAAGTGTCATTAGCAACTGTGCCCAGTTTCAAGTGTCAATTTTTTCTGTGTTTCGGTTTTTTTCTTTTTATTTCTATTTATTTCTTTACATTTCTCTTCTCTTTTTGTTTGTTTTTTTTTTTTTATGCAAATTCTTTGAGTGCAACGTTGCGTAACCGCATTCAATCCTTTGTAACTTCAATGTGGCTCTTAAGTTTGTTCTGCTACGTCGCCCAAATATTTGTTGAGAGTTTGCTGAGCTGCTCCTGTTCGTCCTTTTGCACCAGTCTGTATTGACTCTCCGCAAAAATTTGCAATTTCTATTCTGTGTAGAAACTTAAAATGTCCATTTTTTATGTATTTTCTCCACAAGTTCCATTCCAAGTTGATTTCATCAAATGTACGCAATTCGTAGAGTGTTTTGCCAGACTGTGTGTAAATTATAAAATGGACAGTATAAATAGCGACAGCTCGTTGAATGCGCAATTAATTATTCATCACTTTTGGTTTAAGAAAACCTGCCTGCATTTAAATTTTTTTCAATTCCATTTCTTATATTATTTTTATTGACGCCCAACTCTTGCTGAGGTGGATATCAGTGCATAAATATCTTTAATAGTTCGCACAATCACCTCAATCGGCAATTATAAGGACTCATATTTAGTTACAAATCGCAAAATTTCTTATATAAAAATGCCCACATAAAACTTCCTTAATCCACTACAGCCACACAAAGTAAAGTTACTCTACCACGGCTCTCGGTCTCTTTGGCGCATTCTTCACTAAGTTAATCGATTGGACAAGCAAGCAAAGTTAATAAATCCAATGACAGGTGACTTCATGCCAATTTAGTCTGTTGAAATAATTACGAATACGTGTTCTACCACTTTTATAGTAGATTTTTTGCTTTATTTCCGTTAAGCGTCACGTAGCAGGAAAACAAGAAGCGTAGAGAAAACTTTTTTACCACAGCTGACACAGCTAACTATGTATGTACATATGTGCATGGAAAAGTAGCTTATGTTAGAGGAATTAAGAGTTTCAAGGATTGTGTAGGAAAGAATATTCAATTTGGCTTAGGTAATTAGATTAGTTGGATAGTTAAAAAATCCATAAAAAAAAATATGCACACTAAGTACCAACGTTCAAATGTCTACTTGTACATTGGTCTGTTACACCGCAGGTGTTAAAGCTTTTTTGTCGAAGTTGTATATTCAGCTACAAAACAAGCCGCCATTCTCATATCATTCTGACCGAATGGGCTTCCACAAGGTTAGGTTAGGTTGAGTTAAAATGACTGCCAGTGACCTACGCCCTTAAAATTTTGGACCCGTTGTGATACCATGCGAGACGTTAAAACCCTCCTCCTCAAACCGTCGTATGGAGTCTGCAAAGCTCAAGAGTGCCCTTATTCCTACTTCGGCTATGTTGGTTAAACTTTCAAAGAATTCTTAGCCCAAGTACTTACCTCTTATTTTGCAAAGTAAGGGACATTCGCATAGCAGGTACCGTACGATTTCCGGCACTTCATCTCTGCAGCTTCTGCATAAGTCTTTGTGTAGGATCTGTAGCCTCTCGCGTGTATCTTCCTGGCCTGTTAGAAGACCCATGGCTGTAGCTAAGTCACCTCTGCTCAGCATCAGGATAACTTTCGAAAGCTTCTTGTTCCATTTTGGCCACATAAGCTTTGCGTTGTTGCAATTTGTGAGACTAGACCACCCGTTCCTTGCTTGTTTAGGAGACAAATCCCTTAGAATGAGCCTGCAGGCAGCGAGGCAGCATGCCTAAACCCTTCCGGGATTTCAAAAGTGGAACGGATATGCCCTCTCTTGCAAGTTCGTCAGCCTTTTCGTTGCCTGGTATATTTTGGTGCCCCGGCACAAATACCGAGTGAAAAGCGTGTTGCTCAGCCATCGCGTTCATAGATCTGCGGCGGCCCGCTACGGTTCTTGAATTGGCTGAGTGTCTGAGTAGATTAATATATTGTTACTTACTGATTGTGCTGCACGTAAATGTTCAACCTCCTCCTGTAAGGCAGCGACCTCAGCCTGAAGGACGCTGCATGTTCGGGTAGGTGAAATGATTTTTCCAGCCCCATTCGTGTACCGAACACGAATCTATATTATTTATGTTGCTGGCAACATACAAGGGAATTTGCCGGCCGATTCTAAACTATGCTGAACCGGTTTGGACGTCGGGGACTAGTTGAACGCAGTGAACGAAGCTACAGACATGTCAGAACGCCGCACTCCATACAGCGACTGGATGCCTTCTGATGACGCCTGAGCACCATCTACACAGCGAGGCCCAAGTGCTCCCCATAAGGGAATACAACAAAATGCTTTGGGGTGCCACGGAAGCGAACACCCAAACAGACCTCTGCTACAGGAGGAGCCTCCGCCCAGACACGTCAGGGGGCACCTATTCGTGTACAAGGACGCAGTCCAGCAATACATAGACCAGCCACTGGACCCGACGCAATACAGATGAGCTATCAACGACATCCATAGAGAGTCAGTGACCATCTACCTTGACTCTCGGCCTATGCATGCCGTAATCGGAGCCCAATCACTACCCGTAGAAGAGACGGAGCTTCAATTGCCAAGAAAGACCCGCGTTACACTGGCTCAATTACGGTCTGGATACTGTAGCCGCCTCAACAGCTACTTGTCCATACTCGGCCCCAACAACAACAATACAACGAGAAAAAGCCTAGAAATTGGTGACTAAAGCCAGAACTTGTCTTGTAGATATAGCCATTTATAAAACCAATACTAACTTACGGAGTATTAGTATGCTGGCGGCCAGCGCTGAGCAAGCAATACAACTTTAGGAAATTAATCAGCGTTCAGCGAGAAGCTCGTGCAGATGTTGGAAGAGCAACTACGTCGTGCCCTACGGATGGTCTTAATGTGATACGGCATGAACTGCCCCTAGGATTTCATATATTCGAAATGGCAGTGAGCTCTGCGATCAGACTGGGAGAGTCAGGCTATTGGAGGTCGAGACAATACGGGCTTAGTCGTGTTCTTTACAAGCTCTCAGAATTAGGGAAAAAATCCGACTATATTCTGTTGCAACGTCTGAAAGTTGTAATAATATTTTAATTTTTTTCTCATTACATTTTTTCATTAGCAAAAACTCAACTATGTAAAATCTATGTAAATGTAAATCTTAAAAAAGTTCTTCATCGCAGAAACACTGTAATTAACTCTTGCCTTAAGCGCTTTTCAAAGATTCAAGTATCAGCACTCTCAACCGCATTTGAGTATGATTTTATACTTGCGAAGCATATTAGTACATACATTAGGGTGCACCACTCTTCATACAACAAAAAAAATCGGTACTTTTTTCCATCGAAATATGAATTGTATTATATTTTGAGACTTGGCGCAAAAATATTTCTGAAACATATTAAGATTTACTTTTTATTAACATTTCCCCAAAAATCGAATTTTGCATTAGTAAAATTAATTTTTTTTTATATTTTCTCTATAAAATCACCTTTAATGGTAGAATTAAATATTTAAAAATACTATCAACGGAATCAAAATAATGAGATATTTGGAGGTATTTTGAAATCGGTCAGCTTACGTAAATCTTCCGAAATATTTTGTGGGAAGTCTTAAAACATTTTAATAATAATAATAATAATAGATTGGCGCCTACACATACATATGTTAGTGTTTGGCTATGCTTCTCCTCCGATTTGTGGAAACCCCCTTTTTTCTATATTTTTGTTGCGATGCTTAAAACATTTTAAATTCTTTAGTTATGGTAGAAAATGCGCTACTTTTTTTTTAGTGATTCACCCTAATATACATATGTACCTAAACATGAACATATGTACATATTTACATCTCGCACATCTTTAGTATAGAAATACAGACGTCTAATCGCTTAAATACATATAAGCCACCAACCAACCGTCAATAATCCCAGTTTACACTTCGCCTTCAGCCACTCAAAGCCACACTAAACACTTGCCACACACACATATACATACATACACACAAACAAACGCCATCGAAGATTTGAAGGACGGCGCGCATAAAAATGCAAATCAAGTTTAAAGGGCAATGCGGAAAAAAAAAATAAATGAAAGAATGAATCATTGCGCGAAAAAAAAAAATCACACGATGCTTTAATCGCATTTCACACCATTTGTGAAGAGTGTTTACACACTGTTGATAATTTGCACTTTGCAAACAAGAGTGCACATGCACACCTAGTGCATACATATGTACATACATATGAAATTTGCATTTGTAAGTGTGTACAATGTATGAAAAAAAGTAAGCACTCATGGCGGTCTATAGAAAAGTTCAATTAAAAGTGGTGGAGTGTGAAGCGCGGGCAATACATACATACCTCTGAATCGCGCCACAAAAAAAACGGTAAACAAACAAATTTGAGCATGCATATTAACATAGATATGTGTGCAGATTGATATACATGTGAGTGCCTGTGTTTGTGGGAGAGAAAATTGTGATTTCTATTAGCAAATCTGTAATTGGGCGATGAGCTTCACATGGCATCTGCATACCTCTTTACCTCTACAGCTATTAGCTTTTTTTAATCCACAGCAATTTGCTTCGTCGTCTGCATCCTCCCCCTCCTCCTCCGCCTGCTTCATCTTTTCTTCGCCCGCTAAGCATCCTCTTCAACATTTCGCTATGCCAATCAACGCTATTTGACGTTTAACTTTGAAAAAGATTTCATGACTTCATAGACTTGCAAACTTGTGCATACAGATGTGTGTGCGCATGTATGTATGTATGTGTTTAGTTGGCTCACCACTACAGGCATGCAACGCCACTTACACACGTACATACATACATACATACGTGTTGGCTTATGTGCTCGCGCGCAATATCCTTTGCCTTTGCATATTCAATCCCGCTGGCATTAACAATTTGGCTTGGAAATTTCTCTGTCTCCGTCTCCGATACTTTCATACTTTCCCCCTTTTCGCGCGCTTCTCCCCTAGATCAGCAACTTTCATATCCTCTCATTTCGTTTCGTTGCCTTTGCTGCACTCTTTGTGCAATTCTATAAAGTTGCTAATTCTTTTCGTTTTTCTTTTTTTTTTTGGGTTTTGTTCCCCTCGCTTTTTGCATTTTTCACTCGACACTTTTGAATTGCAGATTTCGCTGCAACCCCTGTCCGTTTATTCTTTTTTTATTTACACAAATCCCAAATGCTGTATAACTAGAGTGAAGCAAAAAAAAAAACAAAAACTTAAATAATACGTAAGTAAATTTCTTTCTTAGCTTTTTATTTAGTCGGAAAATTGAATTTTTATTTAACTCTGAAAATTTAATTCGAGTTAGTATTGCTGCAATCGTGTCACATTTGATTTATGAATATACATACATACAGAATGCAGCTTCTTCTGGTGCCGAATTAAAATTTAAATAATCTTAAAGTAAAAGTGAGGAATTTTATCGAAAACAGCTACTCATATTCTCGTGCATGTCTAAATACTTTTAAAAGAGTCGGATTGAAGGGCTGATGAGGCCACACGGTCCTGGTAGATTTTTTTACAGAGGGCGGAAACCGTTTATGAACGGAACCACCGTTCTGTCTTCTGACTTAGATTATAAAGAAAAAACATAAATAAGCTTGGTCTGAAATGATCGCTTTCAACTCAGTTAGAGGATATTTCTCCAAACTTCAACGACTGGTCTGCTCTTGGTAGAGTGACCTCAAGCTGGGAAAATCAAGCACGGATATGGAGTCCGTTACAGTTTAACGGGGATAACAAAGTTCGGAAAACTATTATTTGGAAAAAGGTTCAAGATCTAACTTTTGGCTTTGAACCTGATATTTCTATAAAACACCTTTCGGCACCTAATGGCGGCACATAGCCACTAAAAAATCCGCGAAATTATAAGGGCAGGAGTCTAGCCATATATCGTGTAGAAAGGCCCAACACCTTTGTTAGTAGTTCAAGAACTCCTGTCAAACTATACTGAGATGCATTGGCAGAAACCCCATTGTATCTTCTCCTAAAATGCGGCATTTGAAAGGTTAACGATTTGACGATTTCTAGAAACGATTATCTGTGTGTGTAATTTTGGCCAGACCTCAATTTTGAGACCAATTTACACAAGCAACTCAAAACTGTCTCTAAGATTGCGCTGTTTTAACACTTCTTAAAAGTTCACCTTTCCTAATGGTAACACTGGAAAACAAACTAAAAAAAGAAAGTTTTATAAGCATCGTTAGTAGATAGTAAAAATGATGCCCGTTTTATAAAGTTGGTGCGAGTTTTTTTGCCACCACTTTTTCAGAATATTATTGGACTTTTAACCCTATAACGAAAAAGTCAATAACCCAAACTTAAATATTTGTACATATACATACATATTCTAAGAGTAGGTATCAAACTTCTCATTTGAGGCCTACTTTTTAAATTCTAAAATTTTTTGGACAAAGTTACCCTTCACCATTTACTTATGTATACAAAATGACTAAAAAAAACTTTTTATAAAAAGGAAAAGGAAATATGGACATCTACCCGCGTACCATACGGGTAAATATGGAAAATTTATATTTTCGCTAAGGCTTTTAGGCTATCTTCTAATCTAACAAGTTCGATGCTCTATAAACAAAGGTTAAAGGTATATTTTTACCAGGAAATTTTGTTGTCAGCTTAGTACTTGTAATCAAGTAGAGTGTAATTAAACATATTAGGACAATCAATATATGACTTAAAATAAGAAAAAAAATATGCGCAGGATAAAAAATGGTGTTCAGACAAATATTTTAATCAAAGTAAAAAAATGTCCCTTCAATTTGACAGAAATTATTACAGAAAATTACCGCATCGCTGCTGCTAGCACTGACGCTGAAACGGAAAAATTTATAAAAAATACTAGTGGTCGTATTTTGTTGAAACTTTACTGCTACAAAAAATACTTCACAGTAATTTTAAAAATTAAATCGTTTTTTTTTTTTGTACCGGTTACCAATTTTGAAATCATGGGTTTTAGTACCTGTCACAAATTTTGATAAAATCGGTGTGGTCTTTCGACCTTCGGTTATTTCAAAAATTAAATCGGTTTTTTGTACCTACAGGTTAACAAATTAAATTTCGTAAAAAGGCAGAGTGGTCCCGCCAATTTTTTTTTAATCAAAACAAATATTTTGCGTAAAGATTTCTCTATATCTCTAGCATTTTATTAATACGCTACGCTTATTTTCAATTTTTTTTTTGAAGGCCAACAGCCAATTTAAGTAAAAAATTATTTTAAGTTTTTGGAAATTGACCGAAAATAAAAAATAATTTTCCATTTAAATTGCTGACGAAACCAGCGGCAAGTTTCTTACTAAAATATTAATTTATACATATGTACTTATATGCGGGCTTTAAGGCGCACAAATGGCTTGAGGAGACTTCGGAAAATACAAGTAATTTTTAGCAAAAAAAACCGGCGGCCTCGAGCTCAATATAAATTGTTGAATATAATTATTATAAGGCCAAAAAAATAACAAAAACAAGAAAAACCGGCTTGAAAATATATATATATATATATCTATTTATATTTGATGATCCAATAATCGGATCTAAACCAGATTAGTATGGAAACACCTCTGAGACACTACCTTTCCGATGAAAAAAAGAATTATCGGAATCGGTTGACGTGGTCCAAAGTTATGCGGTAACATAATTACATAAAAAAAATATTCCGACAAACTGACAACCTCCTCCTTTTTTTGAAGTCGGTTAATTAAAAATAGAAAGTGAAGTTCGCACTGCAATGAACTGCTATGCCCATAACAAGCCCGAAGGTTCTTTGAATTAAAATTAATTTTCATTCAATAGGCCATTCTGTTCTTTAATGTGGAAAAGTGGTATGCAGTCAAAAAAAAAAGCTTCCAATATCAATAGCCGTTGGAGTTCGAGCCCAGGAGATTATTAAGTTAGTTACTACTACCAGCTTTACTAAGCGGACATTCAAAAAGTTTTGGCTGAGTCCCGCTGTCGAAATATCTCAAAATCACTACGCTAGTGTTGTTACTTTCTAGCAGCTGAAAAATATTAGGGGTATTCTCTGAGTCTTGCAAAGCCCTTGCAAAGCTGTCCCATAGGAAACCCAGTTTTTACCGTGCAATCCGTGCACCGGGTAAGGGCTTTGCGAGATTGCGAGAATACCCCTCTTATGACAAGGCTTTAGCGGTTTATGAAAAATTCTTCCTGTTACCCATTTTTCCGTCAATCCAATGATTGAAATACGAATTCGAGTCGTATATCCTACAGAATCACAGACGGCTTGACTTTCACCGAGGCGGAAACTCCGCCTGACTTCGCAGTTGGGTGTACGTAATCAAGTAAGGTCTCTCGACTTTAGGTTTTTACTTTCTTTTGCGGGTTTGTGCTAAGATTTTTACTAGCAAGCTAATTAACAACCAGGCCTCACCTCATCGGTTCCCAAGTCATTAACGTAGCGGGTTGGAATGCGGCATTAATTCCCAAAATATAGTTTCTCCAAAAATAGTGCATTCCTTATAAAGCTGTTTATGTCTCCTTGGACTGGATTTTATGGTAGACTTTTCACTGATTGGAACATGGGATCTTCTGAAATTCTCCTCTCAAGGAGATCATTTCTTTTTTCTAGCTATCCAAAACTTTTTTCCAGCCTCATTATTTTTCTCCTACAGCCTTTCTACATGTACCAGTGGACTCATACGGAAGCGCCAACCACATCTGTCCCGCTCACGCCTGGCAGGCTGGACACTGTAGCCGTGTGGCCGCATTGCAGCACACCCAGCTCAGTGGCGCGCATACCGAAGGGCGTGCAAGTTGACACCACAGCTGATCTCTTTTTTCAACAGAATCTCCGCAAGCGCTTACTTGCCTGCAGCAACCTCACCGAAGTGCATGCTGTGGTAAATGAGCTGCTCGCTCCCAGCGAAATGACGCGACGGCCATCTAAGCGCTGCATAGAACTAACCGATTTATTAAATGCAAGTGAAGCAACCATTTACGAGTATGAAAAGGGAAATGCAACCTCGTCGGTGGTGAGTTCGGAAAAACCGAATCAACGAGCATCGACGAGTGATGCCGGCATGCAGACAGAAACACTAATGGAGACCGGCACCGTCACATGTCCTGTGTGCGCGCCAAAAGCGAAAGAAACCAGTGATCGAGGCATACAAACGGATGCTGAGGAGGTGAAAGTGAAAGCGCCAAAACCACCGCCGCCGCCACCTCCACCACCACCAATGGATGCTTCCAACGCAGCACAACCTCCGCCTCCTCCGCCACCACCGCCTCCAGCGCCACCCGCTCCACCACCACCTCCTGGCATGAATGCACCTGCACCTCCACCACCACCACCTCCCCCAGCGCCGGCGTCCTCAACAGCTGGTCCGCCACCTCCACCACCACCTGCGCCTCTGCCTCCGCTCAACACTTCAGCTGTGCCGCCACCTCCCCCGCCCGGCGCGCCAAAGCCACCATCCTCTTCCTCTACACCAGCGCCACTGCCAAATCCAACTGAAGGGGCGTGGTTCCACACCACAAATAGTAAGTAAAAGATACGCGAATCAATAAATATCTTCAACAATAATTTCTTTTTTCATACCAGCTCTTAGAAAGACTGCCGTCAACCCGCCTAAGCCCATGAAACCCCTCTACTGGACACGCATAGTTACGCCAGCACCACCCCCTAGGATTACAACTCCGCAAGCCAGTACTGACTCTAGCGGTAGCTCGCCCGACGATNGCTGCCTCCGCTCAACACTTCCGCTGTACCGCCACCTCCCCCGCCTGGCGCGCCAAAGCCACCATCCTCTTCCTCTACACCAGCGCCACTGCCAAATCCAACTGAAGGGGCTTGGTTCCACACCACAAATAGTAAGTGAAAGATACGCGAATCAATAAATATCTTCAACAATAATTTCTTTTTTCATACCAGCTCTTAGAAAGACTGCCGTCAACCCGCCTAAGCCCATGAAACCCCTATACTGGACACGCATAGTTACGCCAGCACCACCCCCTAGGATTACAACTCCGCAAGCCAGTACTGACTCTAGCGGTAGCTCGCCCGACGATGTTACCGACTCAGCAGCGCCCAAGGAAATCTGGCAGGAGATCGAAGAAACAAATCTCGATAACATCGACGAATTTACCGAGCTCTTCTCACGACAGGCTGTGGTACCCGTTAGCAAGCCAAAAGAGAAGAAGGTGGTACGTGTGAAGGCTATAAAAGTGTTGGATAGTAAGCGTTCTCAGAATGTCGGCATTGTGTCGCGTAGTCTACACGTCGACTTCTGTGAGATCGAACACGCGATCTACCATGTGGACACATCGGTTGTAAGCTTAGAGACATTACAGCAGATCATTAACATTAAAGCAACAAACGAGGAGTTGGAACTGATCAAAGAGGCAGCGCAAAGCGACATACCACTCGATTATCCGGAGCAATTCCTGCTCAAAATCTCACAGATCTCAATGTCTACAGAGCGTATCTCATGCATTGTCTTCCAAGCCGAGTTCGAAGAGGCAGCAACGGTAATTGCGCGAAAATTGGAAGTTGTTGCACAGCTTTCGCAGTATTTGATTGAGAGCGAAGACCTTAAGCTGATCTTCGCCATAATACTCACACTGGGAAATTATATGAACGGCGGGAATCGACAGCGAGGGCAAGCGGATGGTTTCACATTGGAGATATTGGGAAAGCTCAAGGACGTAAAGTCAAAAGAGTCACAGACGACGCTGTTGCATTTCATTGTACGAACCTATATCAGCAGACGACGCAAGGAAGGAGTGCAGTTGCTAGAGATGACCCTACCCATACCCGAACCGTCAGATGTGGAGCGCGCAGCACAAGTGGATTTTGATGAGGTCAAGCAGCATATAATTGAATTGCATAAGAAATTGAAAGGTGAGTGGAATGGTCAAAGTGGAGACGCTTTCAAGGATGATACAAATATGTATGTATATGTGTAATTTCGTTTTATCTATCCTCTTCATTACAGCGAACAAAAAGACAACGGAGCGCGTGGTTCTAGCCTCAACTCCATGCACTTTGGAGCCATTCAAATCGAAAATGGAGGAGTTCATTGAGAGCGCANCGCAGCGCCCAAGGAGATCTGGCAGGAGATCGAAGAAACAAATCTCGATAACATCGACGAATTTACCGAGCTCTTCTCTCGACAGGCTGTGGTACCCGTTAGCAAGCCAAAAGAGAAGAAGGTGGTACGTGTGAAGGCTATAAAAGTGTTGGATAGTAAGCGTTCTCAGAATGTCGGCATTGTGTCGCGTAGTCTACACGTCGACTTCTGTGAGATCGAACACGCGATCTACCATGTGGACACATCGGTTGTAAGCTTAGAGACATTACAGCAGATCATAAACATTAAGGCAACAAACGAGGAGTTGGAACTGATCAAAGAGGCAGCGCAAAGCGACATACCACTCGATTATCCGGAGCAATTCCTGCTCAAAATCTCACAGATCTCAATGTCTACAGAGCGTATCTCATGCATTGTCTTCCAAGCCGAGTTCGAAGAGGCAGCAACGGTAATTGCGCGAAAATTGGAAGTTGTTGCACAGCTTTCGCAGTATTTGATTGAGAGCGAAGACCTTAAGCTGATCTTCGCCATAATACTCACACTGGGAAATTATATGAACGGCGGGAATCGACAGCGAGGGCAAGCGGATGGTTTCACATTGGAGATATTGGGAAAGCTCAAGGACGTAAAGTCCAAAGAGTCACAGACGACGCTGTTGCATTTCATTGTACGAACCTATATCAGCAGACGACGCAAAGAAGGAGTGCAGTTGCTAGAGATGACGCTGCCCATACCTGAACCGTCAGATGTGGAGCGCGCAGCACAAGTGGATTTTGATGAGGTCAAGCAGCATATAATAGAATTGCATAAGAAATTGAAAGGTGAGTGGAATGGTCAAAGTGGAGACGCTTTCAAGGATGATACAAATATGTATGCATGTGTGTAATTTCGTTTTATTTATCCTCTTCATTACAGCGAACAAAAAGACAACGGAGCGTGTGGTTCTGGCCTCAACTCCAGGCACTTTGGAGCCATTCAAATCGAAAATGGAGGAGTTCATTGAGAGCGCAACAAAGACAATCGATAAACTCTACAAAGACTTGGATGAGTCGCGAGAGATGTTCATCGAAACGATGCGCTTCTATCACTATACGCCCAAATCTCGGGCGCTGGAACAATGCACGCCCGATCAGTTCTTTGAGTATTGGACGAACTTCACCAATGACTTTAAGGACATTTGGAAGAAGGAGATTGCCACGTTGTATGACGACTTGTAAGTGCGGAAATTGAGGGCGAAAAAATCCAATAGCAATTACAAATTTTTTGTTTGTTGTCAACTTTCAGGTTACGCAAGTCGAAGCAAATTCAGACACAATCACGCAAAAATGTTAAAACCACAAAACTGAAGCCAGGCGGCCTTAAGGAACGTATCCTGCGTTTGAGTAAAAAGTAAAACCAAACTACAGCAGCTCAACTTTGTAATGCGAAATAAAATATAGAGATTTTAATATTTATTATGCAGTTTATGGCATTTGTTTGAAATCGTACGAAAATGCTTTCATGCATAACTTTGTTGCTTTATAGCGTGTTTTCACTAGCTAATTGAGTATTAAATTTTTTGCAAATACAAACAAACTTTAGCTTACAAGAAATGCACACACCAATCGGAACGTACGTACACACTTATACATACATACATACATACATACATACTTAGAAAGTAGCCTTATATTAAATTTAGCAAATAGACTAATTTAAGTTTGTATATGAAAAATGATTAANAACTTAATTTAATTGTTTCTTAAAAATACTTGACATCCACATTCGCATCCGCATCCGCGGATGTTAGCCGTTAGACATCCGCATCCGCATTCATATCCGCGGATGTCTACAATTCCACATTCGCAACATCCGTAATATAAACATGTCTTCTGATATAAGGTATATCCTTTGTTAACCAAAAATAACTTAACGAATTTACTAGTGTGTTTCTACTTAGGATTTATTTAAATAAAATATTTGAAGGTAGTAGTGCACTTTAGCTTACATGGCCAAAAATGGATGAAATATTTCGAGAGTGGTGTCAATCGACCCGGTTTAACGCCAATAATAACTTTAACTTTTAACTTTTTAAATTAATTAAAGAGTTATTTGCAAAAAAACACTTGCACTTTTCGCAATTTCTTTTGATCTATTTCACGAAAANATAATATAAACATGTCTTCTGATATAAGGTATATCCTTTGTTAACCAAAAATAACTTAACGAATTTACTAGTGTGTTTCTACTTGGGATTTATTTAAATCAAATATTTGAAGGTAGTAGTGCACTTTAGCTTACATGGCCAAAAATTGATGAAATATTTCGCGAGTGGTGTCAATCGACCCGGTTTAACGCCAATAATAATTATCCGAGCGCGGTAATTAACTTTTTAAATTAATTAAAGAGTTATTTGCAAAAAAAAACACTTGCACTTTTCGCAATTTCTTTTGATCTATTTCACGAAAATAAAAGGAGTAAATGAACACAGCTTAACACGTATTTATTTGTTTAAGTACATTTGTAATACATTAAGTGAAATATATGTGCAAAATTGTTTATTTAATTGCAATATTCCGGTCTTGAAACTTCCGCTNTAGTACATTTGTAATATATTAAGTGAAATATACGTGCAAAATTGTTTATTTAATTGCAATATTCCGGTCTTGAAACTTCCGCTCAAAAATTTTGTGAAACTAACCTTAATAAGATGGAGGAAAACTGGTGCTGCCACTCTATTAAAAAAAGTTAAAATTTAAAATTGAAAAGTGTTCTCTGCAAAATGTGTTCAGCCCCTTTTTTGGCAACACAGAAAGGAGAATTCTACGTAGTGAGGGTTATAATCCCTACGCCTACGCAATAAGGAGTTGAACGCACAAATACTTTATAAATACAAAAAGTCAACCCTACATAAAATGAATTTTAAAACTGAACTATATTTAATAAAGTGGCTGCACTCATTTTCCTTCATCTTATTTATATTAACTTCACTTCAGATTGTTGTGCGGAATTTTCAAGACCGGAATATTGCAATTAAATAAACCATTTTGCACACATGTTTTTTTCTTAATACATCACAAATGTACAAAAACAAATAAAGACATGTTAAGCTGTCTTCATATACTCTATTTGCGTGAAATGCATCAAAAGAAAGTGCGAAAGTGCAAGCGTTTTTTGAAAATAACACTTTAAGTCCAAAAAGTTTATTTCCGCTCTCGGATTATTGGCCTTAAAACGCGGCGGTTGACAACACTCTCGAAATTGTTCGTGCATTTTTGGCCATGTAAGCTAAAGTGCACTCAAGGCGAATTCATATAAGGTGGTATCGATTCAACAAATACAACAATTACTTGTATTTTGTTTTTGCTTTTAGCTGGTCATTGTCAAATTTCAGCTATTCTTCTCCGAATGAAAAAGGGCGACAGAAAATGCAAACACTCTCACGTTTTCACTCACTCACTAACAAAATATAAAATTTTGACAATCAAACGCTACTCACAGCTGATTAAACAACACCACCTTATATAAATTCGCCTTGAGTGCACTTTTACCCATTTGAATTTTAGTTGAAGCATTTTAGCCGTTTTTAGCTGTTTTTTTCTGCCAATTTAGCCGGTCGGCCCCAAAAGTTCTTGCAACACTGTTCACAATTCACAAACTGAGCTAGTAAAAATTCATAATAGTATTTTTTTTATCAATCGACTAAAATTTTATTCAAACTGGAATAGTATGCCACAACTTTATGCACCCTAACAAAATGGTTACATTAATATACATACATATATGTATATATGCAAATATATATTAACTTTTGAGTGCCTGTTTTGTTTTCGCAAAACAAAAAAAAAATGTAATGGAATATATCAAAGTAGAATAATAAGTCTTAAATGCAAGATAGATTTAGTAGATACAGTAAGTTTTCAGTGTTTCGCTTCATTTTTGGTAGTCACCAAACAATTTGTAAGGTTCACCTCAACATATTCATGATGAGATAAAAAGTTGTCTTAACAGCACTCAAAAATATTTTGGTGGCAATCGTTTTTGCTGTTGGGCGATTGGCATCGGTCTTAGTGGAGGTGTTCTGTTGAGTTGGATTGAATTGGTGAAATGATCGCCTTTATGTATGTACAGATTTGTATTTGTTCTCAAAATCATTTCAATTTTGAATAAGTATCAACCTTTTCATGGAACTGCATATAGTATTCGAGTGCAGCATTGCGAGTCTGATTCGCAACTTTGCTAAGGTTTTCGGGAGAAAAGCGGTCAATGAAAACCTGTGTCTTAAAGAAGACTACTGTCTTTCCAAACACGTCCACACAAACATTTTTGACTGCTAATGAAGTGTCGCCGATTCTTTTAGAGAAACCAGGAACATATTGTTCGAGAAATTTTGCAGCAACAGGTAGTTTAGACGCTACAAAATCTAAGAGCACACCATATATATTACAGGCGGCATTGCGTGACAATTTGAAGACATCACATACCAGCTGGCCAGCAGTCTTCGCGTATGGTGGCACATGGAGTTCGGCCCATTTGTAACCACGTGCTGCAGCTCCCATTGACATGTACCATGCTTTCTCCACATGCGGTAACACTCCGGCATTCTTCAAGACTTTCCCAGTAGCTGAATGTTCAAACACACCTTTCCCATTTAAATTCGTGTCGTAGATCAACACAGCAGCAATCACTGTGATCAATACAAAACTGCCCAGGATCCACTTGCAGATCCCACATTTATTCTGCTCAGTGCTTTGTTTCTTTTTTTGTTGTGCGGTTTTTTCTTGGATAGTCTTGACAACATCTATCAGATCTTCTGCAATTTGATCTTTCCGTTTTGATGTAACTAGTTCATCATTGAGCTTTTGAGCTTCCTCCAGAAATGTACGAAATGGGTTGGAACAAGCCAGCTTTAAAACATTTTTATCATCATTATCCAGTTGCCTTTCTATTTCTTTAAATAGCAAAAAGGATGACAGCAGTTGCTTTTTGTAATTCATCTTCCATACTTTAAAGCTATCTTCACTATTTACAAGGCAACAAAGACATCCAGCTAACTCACTGCGACTTCTGCTTGGTTCCACAATATTACGGAAAAGCGTAAGAAATATGTTTGCATGCTTGCTGCTGGATAAAATGTACTTAATCAGAAAGCCATGTGCACATTTTATTAGGGTCTCTTGGTTCTCTTTTGGAATGGAATAACTTGTTTTTAATGCGTTGTAGAACGAGAAGAATTCATTTTGATTCAAAGTTATTGTACAACTTTCATCGGATGCGCTCAAAACTTTCTCTAAATATTCCGTTGTGAATTTTGTATAGCTTTTTAATTCGAGAGTGGGTAACATTAAATTTTGCCAGACTTTGATTCCCTCCGTTATCTGCTCTAAGCCACCTTGGCCAATTGCCCAAAGTATGTTTAAACAAATGATGCGCCTATTTTGATAAGAATTTCGTAATAAAGCAATTTTCGCCATGTTATTCGATGCAACATGTGGCCAATGTCGGCCAATTAATTGAAGTATGAGCTTGTAACCCACAATTGGTAAATTCTTGGAAAGCTCCGTAGTCATACTAATTAGTAAAGTGTGGTAGAAATATGATAAATTCTCTTCTCCCACCGATTTTAAAAAATCAAGAACGGCAGTTTTAAGTGCTGCATTTATTAAATTGCACGGATAATTCATTGATTTTCCGGAAAATATCGGATCGCTATCGAACAGAAGTTTTTCGTTGAAAAAACTTGCAACGCCTTTAAGCCAAAGAAGCTCGGAACCAGGATACGCAAATTTTAATTGCTCCAATTGGCTTGCGAAATCATTTGCTGTAATACTACGTAGCACTGCCTCTATATTTATAGCTTTTGAAATCGCCGGCTTCAACTTTGCTTGTTGCTGCAAAATATGTTCCTTTTTCGTTGATTTTTCTTTGAAACTTGTTTTTCTTGGAGATTCTTTCGATTTGGTAGAGGAACTTGCCGACTCCGCAGGCGATAAGTTGTCTTTCCCTCTTTGGCCAGACAATAAATTGCGATACTCATGCAAAGGCAAAATCTCCTCTAGTTTTGGGTCCATGGATGCCAAACGTTTTTTCTCAGTATGAGCCTCCACCTTCTTATCTAAATTCTTAGCTTTTCTTGATTTCGTGACGATTTCCCATGACATGGTGACGACTTCGTTTTTTCTTTTAGTTGTAAAGTTGATAATGGCCGGATCTGAGTGATTCCTTTTGTTTATTGTACCAACGACGAGTGATAGCCGGGCTAGTAATCCACAAAGCCAAAAGTGATTCCTCTACAATTTATTTTATCAATTTAAACTAGAGATTCCGTTTTCAAATCGATTAAAGCGCATATCGATTAATAGTGCGTTCCGATTCGATTTCTGTCGACTTTTTAATACCGATTGGATTCGTGAATCGATCCAAAAATTCGAGAATCCACATACGATGTTTTATCAATTGATGCATGATCAAGGTCAAGGTCAAGGGTGGCAGTTCTGGCTGGTTTAAACTAAGGTGAGCCAATTAAATGTTCGCCAACTGTTCAATTTAGGGTGCTAATATATTTTGATCCCATTGTAATAGAAATGGAAGAAATTGTAATAGAAGTGAAAGAAATTGTAACAGATAACTACATATGCCAAAAAATAGGTGATATCAGCTGTAGTCATTTTTTGGCAATCAGCTGATAGTGTTTTTACTTAGGAAACTGTACGATGGCCAAGGGTACGCGAACGAGAGAGTCGGGATTGAGTATAGCCGTGCAGATGTAACTGCATACCCAGCACAACGACTATACCCTACTGCACTCCAATAAACCAAATTGTACTCCAAATTTCTTATGCCAGTTCATATTTAGGTCTCAGCAAACAATATTATGCCATCAGAAAAATGTTATCCCCACCCAATTTAATTCAAGTCTGCAAGGGATAAGAGGAAAAATTTAGCTATTTTCTATTAAAATATTTGTTATTATGTCAAAAATACATAAGATAAGATAGGAGAAAAGATACATGTAAATAGCTGATTGCCAAAGCGCGCAAAGGCTGAGAGTTGCCCATGATTTTGCTTCACTTTGCTTTCCCCGAATTCTATTTAGCAAGACTCATATAAAATCATGTATTGAACTTATCTGTCAAAGCGGAACTCTGAAGCAAAGCGAAACAAAAGTCGTATGTAAAGAGCCCTTACATCAGGGAAAAATACTTGGTAGAAGGCATCTTACAAATTCTTTTAGCAAGTTAAAAAATGCCCACGCGCAAATACTGCCTCTGATAAATTTTATATCAGGCAATAACAATGACAGTTGGTAGGCAAAAACTTTTGCCAGTGGAGACGAGCCCTAACTTTATCAAGATAAAAAAAAAGTGAGAAAGCATGTAAAGAATTTTCAAATTACCCATACATAGGGATGCAAACGTTGCATCGATAGTTGCAAAACATCGATGTTTCGTCCATAACTGTATGGGAACGAAAATTTAGAAATTTTCTCGCTTGTGGCAGCGCTCATAAAACAGCTGTAGAAGTTGTCTTGGGTTTTTTTCGAGACGAGCACAAAATTCACAGCACGCATTTTGCGGCAGTTTTCGCGAAATAACAGATTTAAATGCATTTAAAAGCAGAAAACTGCATTAAAAATAAACAAATAGAAAATCGATTTGAACTTAAATCTTGAATACAATAGAGGTATGTAAAAAGTCCCACTTTCCGACCTTCACCTGCCACGCAGTTCTCTTGGTATGAGATGTGTTGCTTGTGCCCAGTTTTCTAATGTCTCCTTTTTCTAACCCTCATCCTGCAGTGCAAAATGTCTCGCGTACTACGCCGCAAACACGTGTTGAAAGAAATGATGGAGGACGACTTCGAGCTGCCCACAGAGAAACAGCAAATAGTGCGTGTCGTCAGCAGTCGTGGCAATAATCTGCACGAAGTGGAAACTGCCACAGCGGACGAGGAACATTTCCTAGCTTCCATGCCTAATAAGTTTCGTAAGACCGTGTGGGTCAAGCGTGGTAATTATGTGCTGGTGGAGCCGATCGAAGAGGGCGATAAAGTCAAGGCGGAAATTTGCAAAATTCTTAGCGCTGAGCATGTAAAGGAATATATAAAAGCTGGTATATGGCCAAAACAGTTTAGTAAAAAGCGTGAACACGAAGAAGTGGATGTGGATAGCGACGAAGAGGCGAATGGTGATTTGTTCTTAATGAGAAATCGCAATAGACCAGCGCTGGCGGAAGTCGATAGTGATGAGGAAGACGATAATAGTACAAGTGATGAGGAATAATGCGTATAAGCTTCGCAGTCATCAGCAGCGCTAGGGTAAAAACATACATATAAGGCGAGTTTGGGTGCTGTTTCGCTATTTTATTTTGAATGTTCTGCCTGGAGGATTAGCAGCAAGAAAATTGTATGCTGCTGATTTTTAAAACAGTCGATCCGTCTGTTAAATTGAGTAAGCCTTGTTTTTAGTATTCACAAGTTTTTATTAAGAAAATTTAGCGTTGGAATAACCAGTTGAGAAAGTATGTATTTTGGTTAAGTCCTTATGAAATTACCATTACACAAATGGGAACCAAAACTTCGAAAATCCATTGACTCCGTTGACCGCTTGAGGTACATTTCGTTGCTTTTATATAGAAGGCCCTAACTCAGATCGTCGCGCAAATGCGAAAAAAAACTTAAATATTTTACGGCATACAACGATGTGCCAGAGACAGAAAAAGGTTATCCACAATATTTTGGAATCTCATAATCTGAATTCACAAGTTGGCATATTGAAAAGTAACTGTAAATTGTCTGTTACAAATTAGGAATATCTGAAATAAATATTATACTCCAACAAAAGACATGGTTTGTCACAATTTCGCTTTTATTTGCATTCTTACTTTTAGATCACTGCAATGTTTGAGATGCAAGTACTTAAGAGTGTAAAATTAGTAAAAAGTGCAAAAGCTCAAAATTTTACATTAAAGTTTTTATTAATTTTTTTTTTTTGTTTTTTAGCAAGCATAACACTGACTTGTTTTATTGAGTATTTTTCGCTATTTTTTTCTTGTTTATTTTTTATGAATGAAAGTAATTTTCCCTTATTCTTAACATTTAAAAGCATACATATTAAGTGCTTAATGCGCATCAGCTAAAGCAGCTCACTGTGCCCGTGAGAATTACTATAGTGCATAGCTGCTAACGTGTAGGGTTCGGGCAGATTGCTTCAGCTTTTGGTGTTTTTTTTTTGTGCGGAAAACTAATAGCCCTAGTTTTTATTTTTCAACAGCAGTGAAATTTCTAAATTTAGCAATTTATCTTCTCCATCATATTTTCTTAGTGAAATCGCTCGATGGCCCTAACATCTAGGCAGAGCACATGTCTTAGACAGCGCACAATAGCAAACAGATTCAACCGTATTTTACAAATTAATTTTCTTTGTATTATTTCGACATGTTTTTCGAAAAAATTATTAACAAATCATTAGCATAAAAACTAGGTATGTACATAAATAAATTAAGAAATTTCGCTTAATCCAAACAAATACTACAAAGCAGCCGAAAAAAATTAAATTTTAAATTTGCCATATTTTTTAAAACTGGGCCCGAATCGCGGCATTCGATATCGAACGTAACTTGAATCGAAATTTGATTTTCAGATATCGGCATTCGATAGCGAGTGTGCATCGTTCATTTAAATTGTATTAGGGATAAAGCAGCTGCCATTTTGTTTGATTCGACTCGAGACTAGTAATCACTAAATGACGAATGCCGCGATTCGGGCCCTGGACATCGAAAATTTAATTGATTGTAAAAAAGGCATAGCACTTATGAAATAAAAATAAGGAATGACAAATTTCATGAATGAGATCTTTTTGCGACGCGCTCATCTTCATTCGGTCTATGTTGAAGGCGCCGAAAATTCATACGTACACAAACTTTAACTTGTGACATGTTTCAAATTCGAATTTATAAGCACACAGAAGCACGGCAAATTCGTTGTTTACAATACAACGTTGCATTCGAAGAGAATTAAAATAACTACAATTATTCCTTGCCACCGTCCGACTTCTCTACCAGCGAGTCTGTAGCCTCCTCCAAGCTACGTACATCCTCGCTCTGTATACCACTCTCGCTGTGTAGCTCTTCTGCCTCGCAATCCTCAAGTATTCGCTGCTGTTGCGTTGGCGCTTTTTCGCCGCAAGCTCCATCGCCAGCAGCGCATAGTGGTACAGCGTTGCCGGCCATTAGCGGTTGGTTCTGATTGCTGCCGCACTTTTGTCTATCCAGTGGTAGCGATGATGGGCGTATTTTGGAGAAAGGGAAATTGCTTTGATTTTCTATTTGCGGAGTATGCACGGCAACAATTTCCGTTTGCGTGGCAGCAGAATCGCGTTTCTCATTCGAAAGAGCGTCGGCCACACCGGCTGAAAGCAGCTTCTTTACATTCTCCTGTGGCAAATTACAGAACAACGTTAGACAATTGAGTATGTCACGCATGGAGCCTTGTAGCTGTTGCACCTAATGTGGTGAAAAATATTGTTTTAAATATAACTTTACTATAGAAATATCCAGAAACCATACCTGATTGGTTAGCATAGTGCAGGTCTTAGCCAAATCATGCACTGCCGCAGTCGAGCTATTATCAAGTGCCGTTGCACGTCCGCCGTCCGCAGAAGTGCTCGCATTTACATCCGCAGTTGCGCCATCACTCGTGCCAGTAGCAGCACTGCTAACTGTGGCACCACCCTGCATTGTGGAAACCTTCTTCCAAAGCGCATTAATGGCCTGCATTTGTAGCTGCTGAATTTTGCGTTCGTTTTCCAACTGCGCTTTGGTTAACTCCATATCTTTGGTTAGTTTACTGGAAATCAAAAAACTGTGCTTAATAAAGGGCGGAGAAAATTAAAACTACAGCAATCGTGTCATACTCAATGTACTCATGTGTGCGTATTTTGAGTAATTTCTCGGCGATGTCCTTTGTTTTCTTGCGCGTGCGATATCCGCGCCAGATTTTTTGTATGACCACCGCCGATGATTCGGTGGCGTGATTTTGTGTAAGCTGCGCATTCGTCGCCGCGACCATTGCTTCTTTTTGTTGCTGCTGCGAGCTATAAAAAATCACAAAATAGGTAAATAAAAATTTTAGAATTTTAAACTCAAACTGCCTACCGTTGCGCTGCCTTATTTCGAATCGTTTTCAATTTGTCTATGTTGATGTGATCGCTATCGTCATCCGAGCTGATGCCGCCCGAACCTGTGTCTGGCGCTACGACGACATGCATTGAATTGCCCGCCAGTCGTGACTTCATTTGGTTATCGGCCTGAGCATTCGCGTGTGCGGCTAC